AAGGCAGCAACTTAACTGCTGAGACCTCTATCTGTGAAGATGAAAAACAGAGAAAGACATAAATGACTAAAACAATAAAAATCAAACCGGTATGAGAGGACATAGCACCACTGAACCTGAAAATCAGGACCTAGTCGTACATCTTCCTGTCCAAAAACCATAAACTCAAAGTTTGTATATAAACGCAAAAAAGTCATAATAATGGTCCAAATTAAATCACCCATTCACAGAAGGTCAAGGGGTTTACCTGTACCGGTCACGGAGAGAAGCTCAGAGTTATTGCCGACTGAAGATGGAGGTGTATTCATCACCAGAGAAACAAACATTTCAAANAAAAAAAAAAAAAAAAAAAAAACCTAAATCGAATTACAAAGCCACAATATTCCAACAAATGGGAATAAATCGAAATTGAAAAGGTAATATAGCGATTGTGGAGCTCACCTTTAGGCCCGACGGAGATACTGAAGCTTACACCTTAAAAAAAATGTCGTCTTCGTTTCTGCAGAACCTAGGGCAAAATGCTCGACTTCAAAAAGTTGTTCAACGAAACTTGCGACAGATGAAAATAAATCGAATTTGAAAAGCAAAGCCTGAGAAAGAGAGGAGCTCACAGTTAGGAACCAGCAGCTTCTACCACCTAGCAACAATGGCGTCGTGTCACTCGTCTCTGCAGGTAGGGCAAAATGGCCGATTTTTCTTTTTATTGGTAATAACCATGTAATTTCATAGAAAATAAGGAGTATTTAATTTGGTCTGTTTGCATCAATAATTGAGGGCAAGAAAGTCATATTGAAGATGGGATTATTTTGTCCCAGGGGGAGGCGGGATTTTTTTTGTCCGAGAATGGCCGATAAGGGCGCGCCACATGGGCGCCAGCTCAGTATATTCCCATTCCACTCCCGTTAAGTAAACGTAGGATTGCCGGGATTATTTTCCTTATCTTGTCCTATCCCACAAATTAAACGACCCCTTAACATAGATCGTGATTTAGTAGACAAGGTAACCACGTAATTAATGTAAATATGAAGAACAGAGCCGCCGGGTTTTAGCACTTTTTTAAGACAAAAATGAAATATGGCCATGTTTTCTAAAACAATGAAATCTAGCCATTTTAAGGGTTAAAAGTACTATTATACCCTTATTAATGTTTACCTACCAAAAATTAAAAAAAAAAAAAAA